GTACCAGATCTCTGCTCTAATCCATCGAATGCCTGAGGATCAACATGATGGACTGTTTAAGACGGACACAAAGATACAAAAACACACCTGATGTGGGGGAACGGCTGTAAAACTTGCACTTCGTGTTTTCCTGCCGTGGCCTCTGAACTGTAACAAAGAGGAGGAAACCATTTTTAGCAAACATGATCTGTGAAGATAAGGGGAGCCATAAAGCAGACATTCCAGACAATCAATGCAAACACAGAGATATCTCAGTTTGTGCAAGAGCAGCAAAAAACTGATTTACAGGCAGTTTAATCACTGTGGGAAGCTGGTAGACCATCAAAGGTTTAATCAACCAGTTCTCTGCCGCTCTGGCTGGTTTTTATTTACTCCCTAATTTCCATTTTGGTAAGACGTCTGTGAGTCACAGGAAAAACAACAAGAACAGGTAAAATGTGAACAGAACCAGAACAAAGAATCCACTGCCAGCTTTTATGCCTTAAGTCTGCTCAGCTCTTCACTCAGCCCTGTTCTATCTGCGTGTGCATGTGCATGCAGCACATCCCATCTGGGAACTGGTGGATGGAGTGTTCCCACCCATCTCCACCCAGTCCTGAAATATACCACACTGGATATTTACAGGCACACAACGATCCCGCTAAACTTTTATTCCAATTGAAAAGCAGGGTTTTTTTTCTAAATTTTTGCATTTGTTGCGGTTTTTAATTACCTGAAAAGTTTCATAAACATTTACGTTTTTTTGTGCAAAAGTAAACAGCAGCAGCAGCTGTCTGTAGCACTTCCACAGATGCCTGGGCTTGCTTCTAGCAGAGGGATAACATTTCTGCAGAAATAAATCGGTAATGTTAAAAAAAAAAAAAAAAACGACTGCAAGGTAAAGGTTTGAATAATAACGTTTTCATGAACTGATACAGGGCGGCACGGTGGTGCAGCTGGTGTAGCTGTTGCCTCCCAGCGAGAAGGTGACCGGTTCAAATCCCGGCCAAGGATCTTTCTGGGTGGAGTTTGCATGTTCTCTCCGTGCATGCATGGGTTTCCTCCGGGTACTCCAGTTTCCTCCCACAGACCAAAAACATGCATGTTAGACCGATTGGTAACTCTAAATTGTCCCTAGGTGTGAGTGAGAGAGTGAATGGTTGTTTGTCTCATTTGTCTCTATGTGTCCCTGTGATGGACTGAAGATCTGTCCAGGGTGTCCCCCGCCTCTTGCACAGTGATTGCTGGACATGAGCACCAGTGACTCCTGCAACCCGAAAAGGAAGAAGCGGATAAAGATGATAGATGGATGAACTGATGCAAAGATTTTGAGTTTAGTTTTAGGGTGGCAGTAGTCCAGTGTCTTGTCCCAGCTCCCACTCAGCCTCACTGATAACTCATCAGTCAAGTGAGAAATAAACAGATTGTCTAACCTAAGGTCGTTCAAAAATGTATTTATAACGGGGAAGATATCAATTGTTAAAAACATCTCCAAAAGAAAAATAAAACATTTAAAAAAGACCAGAACATTATTTTTTATATATCCTGATGCATGCTCAATATTTTTTATATAGTTTTCATAATGAGAGATGCTGGTGTGGAGACAGTGGCATTGATAGAAAGGCAGAAGAAAGAACTGGAAGTGACAGAAATTAGGAATGAGATCATCAGAGGTACAGCACAAGTTGAATAACTGGGAGATAAAGTTAGAGAGGCCAGACTGAGATGGTTTGGACATGTCCAGAGAAGAGACAGTGGGTATATTGGTAGAGGGATGTTAGAAGTGCAGCTGCCAGGAAAAAGACAAAGAGGAGATAAATGGATGCAGTTAGAGAGGACATGGAGGTAGTTGGAGTGAGGACAGAGGATGCAGAGGACAGAGTGAGGTGGAGGATGACTCGCTGTGGAGACCCCTGAAGAGGGAACAGCTGAAAGAAGAAGAAGAAATGTCCATCGGAACATTATCAGATAATTATCTATAGTATTAGTATTTGTCATCAGCTTCACTCAGGGTTTACGACAGCAACTTTGAGTGTGGGAACAGAGTCCAATGCGGTGTTGACAGACCCTGCCACAATGTGGACAGGAGCCTGCACTGACTCCAGGTGAGGTCAGGTTGTCTGCTTTGTTGACTCAACACTGGATCCTTTCTCTCGACTCTTCCTCCATTCGGTGTTCCACAATGGTAATTGCCTTATTGGTGTGGTGCCGCCAGGTCTTTCTGTCTTTAGCCACAGTTTTCCAGGTGGAACGAGAACTGTTGCATGGTGACTGATGCCACTTGACACAGTCTTTGTATCTAAGCTTTTCCATACTGGACCTGTCCATAGAAGACAGCATTCAGCAGTCTGGCATCATCCCCTGGAATGATGCAGCCGCTCCACCTTAGCTGACTCTAAGTAGTGCTTCTACAATGGGGATGTTAGTATTACGTATAAATGACAATTCTTCTGCTCCAAGTGAAGACTCAAAAATCAGTATTGTTTTTCGTCCACATACTCTTGTTCATATCCGTATTTTTGACTTTGAGAACTGAACGTGTCCCACAAATGTCAGAAATTTTTACAACAGAAAATTTGTTTTTAGCATTAAGTTTTTTGTTTCTACGACGTTGTGTTTGTGTTCTAATCCATTAAACTTAAGTAAAGTTTAAGGGAACATAGCAACAATATGGATTTAACAATATCAAGGTAAATTTGGTGTTCATTTGCAGCTTTTAATGTGAGTACAACTGAAGCTTGGTCATGGAGGTCAGCTATACTGAACAAAAATATAAATGCAACACTTGTTTTTGCTCCCACCTTTCATGAGCTGAATTCAAACATCTAAGACTTTTTCCATCTACACAACAGGACTTTTCTCTCAAATATTGTTCACAAATTTGTGTGTGTGTATTTGTGTTAGTGAGCACTTGGCCTTTGCTGAGATAATCCATCTACCTACAGGTGTGTCATATCAAGATGCTGATTGGTCAGCATGATTGTTGCACAGGTGTGCCTTAGGCTGGCCACAATAAAAGGCCACTCTAAACTGTGCAGTGTTATCACACAGTACAATTACACAGATGTTGCAGTTTTGAGGGAGCATGCAGTTGGCATGCTGACTGCAGGAATGTCCACCAGAGCTGTTGCCTGTGAATTGAATGTTAATTACTCTACCTTAAACTGTCTCCAAAGGAGTTCCAGAGAATTTGGCAGTACACCCAACCGGTCTCATAACTGCAGACCACGTGCAACCACACCAGCCCAGGACCTCCACATCCAGCACCTTCACCTCCAAGATCATATGAGACCAGGCACATGGACAACTGCTGCAACAATCAGTTTGCATAACCAAAGAATTTCTGCACAAACTGTCAGAAACCATCACAGGGAAGCTCATCTGCATGCTTTCATCCTCATCGGGTCTCCAACTGACTGAACTGTGCACACATCTAACACACACACAGCCCTGAGGAGAGCCAGTGCTGAGGGTTATGATGGAGGAGGAGAAGTTGTGGATCCTCACTAACTGTGGTCTGTTTGTTAAGAAGTCTAGGACCCGGTTGCAAATGGAGGGGCTTAGTCCTAATGTGAGTAGTTTGTCCATCAGGGTCTGGGGGATCATGTTGAAGGCAGATGTGAAGTCCACAAAGAGCATACGGACGTAGGAGTCCTTCTGCTCCAGGTGGGTGAGAGCAGTGTGGACCACAGAGGAGATGGCATCCTCTGTTGATCGGTTCTTGTGATATGCATACTAGTGACGGTCCTCCTTGATGTTGATGGTTGCTTTGATGTGGGTCATGACCAGTTCTTCGAAGCATTATAGAGACGGGGTGAGGGCCACTGGCCAGTAGTCATTCAGACCAGTCACTGTAGAAGTATTTGGGACTGGAATGATGGTTTTAGTGAACATTTTGCTACTTTTAGCTTTTACATAGCATTTAGCGGGCAGCATGGTGGCGCAACTGGTAGAGCTGCTGCCTCTCAGTGAGCAGGTCCTTGGTTCAAACCCCAGTCCAGGGGCCTTCTGGGTGGAGTTTGCATGTTCTCTCCGTGCATGCGTGGGTTTTCTCCGGGTACTCGGGTTTCCTCCCACAGACCAAAAACATGCATGTTAGGCTGATTAGTAACTCTAAATCACCTAGGTGTGAGTGAGAGAGTGAATGGTTGTTTGTCTCGTTTGTCTCTATGTGTCCCTGTGATGGACTTACGACCTGTCCAGGGTGTACCCCGCCCCTCGCACAGTGATTGCTGGACATGGGCACTAGCGACCCCCATGACCCAAAATGGAATAAGCGGGTAAAGAAAATGGATGGATGGATAGCATTTAGCTACTTTTAGCTTTTAGATAGCATTTTGCTACTTTTAGTTTGCGTTACTCCATAAAGCTTTAATTTTTATTTTTTTGCTACTTTCACCTTTTAGCTATTTCTAGCCAGCATTTTGGTACATTTAGTTTGTGTTATGCTACTTATATATTTAGCTACCATTTTTGCTATGTTTAGCTATTAGCTACCTTTTTTTTTTAGCTTTTAGCTATAATTTAGCAACTTTTAGCTAGTGTTTGACTCATCAATGTTTAGCTGCCGTTTAGCCTCTGTTCTGCTTATTTTAACTCAACTTCAGCTATTTTTGCACACGTCAGCAGCATCTGTTTTCATGTCTGCAGGTCATGTTCAGAGATGTGACCTGCTGAAATTGATTAACTTTATCTGTAACAAATAATCAGCTGAACTCAAGCAAACACATCAATGAGAGCAAACTATCATATCAAACTAAATGTAATTGATTATTTCCATTATATTATTATTATTAATAATTTTTTATATTATTAGAATATATTTAAGTGTTAATTAAGAGTTTAACTCAGGTATGGGCTCATTAGAGCCTGCAGGATCTCTGAGCTCCATCAGGGGAGGGTTAGCTCTGTGGGCTCTCCCCTGTCGGTCGTGCGTGGAAATGATCCAGATCATGAGGGGCTGGACCGGATCCAGGTCTTTAAAAAAACCCTGGCAGGACCAGGAGGAGGGAGCTCTGAGAGCGCAGCCACATTCAGACCCGGAGAGGAGAGGAGTCCTGATCAGACCCGTGCCAGACGCGCTGTGCACGCTTTAACTGCGCTCTTATGAATTAGGATTATTAGGACTTTATAAGGGAGCTGAGTGTGAGGGATTAACACAGCTCGGTTCGGATTTCTTGGCCCAGTTTGGAATATGTTTCTGGATTAAAGGCGCGCAGGTAACAGTTCCGTTTGCAGAGAAATGAAGACTCGTTTCTTGTGACTTCTTTGCGGGCACGTTAAGACAAAAAAACAACTTCTCCTTCTTTCTCCTGCTTGTAGAAATCCGAGGACAGAACTTTAATCTCGTTTCTTCGTGAGTTCAAGTCTCGGTGAAGAAGAAGAAACTTCTTTGTGCGTCTTTGAGGGCACTCTTTCTGTCTGAGATGGTGGGCCACCTACACCTCCAAGCGATGGATGACAGCCTGAAAGGAAAGAACCGGGACGGGCTGCTCGACAGTCCGGACTCGGGCTTGCCCCCCAGTCCCAGTCCGCCCTTCTGCTCCCTGTCCCCGGCCCCGATGGAGCCGCGCGCCGGCAGCTGCTCCACGCCTGTCCACCAGCAGACAAAGGAGGGCAAACTGGTGAGAAACTTTTCATTCTTCCTGCACCCACACCATGAATGGGGGGGGGGGGGGGGGGGGGGGTGTGTGTACAAGAGCTGAAGGCAAATAGAGATGGTCTGAGATCCGTTTAGTGTTTGAGCAGAACCAGATTTGGGATCAGTCCCCTCTCAGAACATCTGGAAGCTTTCTGTCTCTGTCTGTGGACGGAATTCCTCAAACTGATGTTTGCGCTCATGGAGAGGATGAGGAGGATGAGGAGGATGAAGAGGATGGCTCCTCATTAAAGGAATCAGCATGTTTTCATTCTCACTGCGGCGCATCAGCTGTTCCAGAACCACAAGAAGGTCAACTGGAAGGGGGGGGGGGGGGGGGGGTCACTCAGGTGCGCCTCCAAACACAAGTCCGGGGACTCCCAGGGGTCCCTTCCAGAGCTTCATGGGGCAGATTTGTTCAGAGTGCACAGGTCAAGTCCAGTTCCTCTGGACCTGTTCTGGACTGGTTCTGCTGTGGGTTATGAAGGACTCTCAGCTACTACCACACCAAACCATGGGTCAGTAAAAGTGATGGAGTATAGTCATCTTTGTGTTTTTTAAGGTTAGCCATTTTTGGATGGGGCTGACTCCTAAATTAGATCAATTATAGATTTAAATACTTTCTGCAAGCTTCATTAACAGCTTTCCAGCAGTGCATGAGTGATTTTACTAACACATGCATGCACATAGCTAAAAACATTATCGCTCTTGGGTGGGTGATAATTATAGCCAGTGAACTTTATGTCAGCATTAGCTGCAGGCAGGTGAAAGATGTGACTGGTTTTAAATCAGGTCTCTGAACCTCCCCAACCTGTTGGACCTGAGAGCCGTGCATGTGAAGCTTCACGCTCCATCAACTTTTGACTGATGATTCTGCTTTTTTTTTCCCTTTTGCTCTCAGATTTTTAAGCCTACAACAAAAAGTTACTCAGTCTCAGTCAGTTGTCTGCTTCATTTTTCACCCAGGTTCTTTGGTGCCGTCTAAAACCACATTCAGTCTGTGGAACAAAGAATCCTGAAGTTCACTGAAAACAAGCCCATCCATCCAGCCTTTCATTTTCTTTACCCACTTTTAGTTTTACGGGAAACGGGGAGTTGGTCTCTACCTCCTGCAGTCACTGTGAGCGAGGCGGGGGACACCCTGGACAGGTTGCATGTCCTTCACAGGGACACATAGAGACAAACAGCCTTTCAGGTTGGACCATACTTAGAACAGGCCGTCAACATTTAAATGCTTCACATTTGAATATTTTGTCTGTGCAGAGTGTGTGTTACAGTCAGGGAGTGGGGGTAGCTTTGAGCATGTGTAGATGTTTGTGACCCTAAAAACTCTTAAAATCTAATAATACCATACACATGCAGTGGATTGCACACCATCCGTGCATGTTGTCCTGCTTAGACATGCTTAATATGTTTAAAGTTGTAATCACGACCTGCAGCTGATCTGTTCACTTCTTTGTGTGTCTTCAGTGGTTGTAAAGTTTTGCACAAAGAAAAACAAGCAGTGCTGGTTTATACCATACTTTAACAAAACTGGAAAACATATAAACATTGTTATAATTTGATCATCAGACGTGAAAACTGTTTTTATTCATTTTTTTGTTGTTTGTTTGACATGCATCCATCAGGGGAGCTGCAGCACCCTCTGCGCCTCTAGTTCCCACAGTTTTGTTTCCTGGTCTTTTAACAAACATTAGCAGGCCACAAACGGATAATCTGAAAACATACATGTATCACAAAGACTTAAAGTGGTGACGTAATGAACAATAAATATCCTACCTGTTGCAGATAGCTCTTTGACCGGCCTCACTTTGGGGAAATAGAGCTAACATCTGACAGGACTGACGAGCTAATGGCTAGTCCTAATTCAGACAAATCTAAAGTAAAAGGCTGCCATCTTTAAACAGCTTTAAATAAAATAACACAAATTGTTCATGTAAACACTTTTATAGACATTTACGTTGTAGTTTTAGTCGTATTACAGATACTTACACTGAATTCTGTTTATTTTAAGTACCCACTTCCAAATGGTCTAAATATACCTTTAATTGAATATTTCCAACATTTCTCAGTATTCATTGTAGTATTATATGGAAGTCAACAGGAACTGATAACATTCTCCTGACTGAGTTTGTGTTAAACTTTCATATCCATAAAGTTAAGTCAGGTCGTTTCATTTTTCATCCAGAAGACTTCATCAGTCCAAGCAGCCACAACAGACTCAGTCTTATAAATAACGTTTCCACAAAAAGAAACCGTCCAGAGGACCTGACTTCACTTTGTTGGATTTACATACCCGGATTACTGAGCGTGAACTTTGACATAAACTCTCGTATGCAGTACAAAGCATCATAAATGCTTTTACCTGCCACATTTTCAAGCTCGCTGCTTTAATTGGAAATAAACAAATGCAAACAAATCTGCAGCATATTTACTGTCAAACGTGCACACAAATAGCTAAATATGCCGTGCACCTTGAGGTGATTGAAAAAACTTTAAACAGTAAAAAAAAAAAAACACCAGGTTTGAATATTTTCCACTGCAAAAAAAAAAGTATATGGTAATTTCGTGGATTTTCTTGTCTTTCAAAGGATGCATGCATTTTAATAACACATTCTGCTGTGACCTGTGTGTCACACACGCACGCACACACACACACGCACACACACACACTCTGCAGGGCTTGATTTGAGTGAAAACCAAATCCAGGTCACTCCCAGTTTCCAAAGCCTTCTGAACAAGTCTGCGCTGGCCGGCGTGGCTTTTAACGTGTCTGAATGAAGGAGGCCTCAGAGAAGCTGTGTCCTGGCAGCTGCTAACACACACACACACACACACACACACACACACACACACACACACACA